TCCTATTTCTTTATTTTTACAGTAGACCCTTTAGCATTTCTTGCATTACTGGTTTGGTGGAGATAAATTCCTTCAGTCTTTTTTTGTCTGTGAAGCTCCTGATTTCCCCTTCAATTTTGATTGATAGCCTTGCTGGGTACAATATTCTTGGATTCAGACCCTTCCTTTGCATGACTTTGTATATTTCATCCCATTCCCTTCTGGCTTGGTAAGTTTCTGTTGAGAAATCAGTTGCTAGTCTGATGGGGGTTCCTTTGTATGTAACTTTCTGTCTCTCTCTGGCTGCTTTTAAGATTCTTACTTTGTCATTGTTGTTTGCCAATTTGATTATAATGTGCCTTGGAGTCTGTCTTCTGGGATTCATTTTGCTTGGGACTCTGCGAGCATCTTGGATTTGTGTGGGTTTTTTCTTCTCTATTTCAGGAAAGTTTTCTGTCATTATTTCTTGAAATACTTTTTCCATGTCTACCTCAGTTTCCTTTCCTTCTGGAACCCCTATTATTTGAATATTATTTTGTTTTGTAATGTCCCAAAGCTCCCGTAGGCTCTCCTCCTGCTTTTTAATCTTTTTTTCTAGAAGCTGCTCTACTTGGGTATTTTTTTCCATCTTATCTTCTAGCTCACTGATGCGGTCCTCTGCTTCCTCTAGTCTACTCTTGATGCTTTCTATTGAGTTCTTCATGGTAGCGATGTCATTTTTCATTTCTTCTTGGTTCTTCTTCAATTCCTCATGGTTCTTCCTCATTTCTTCTTGGTTATTGTCAAATTTCTCTTCCATTCTTTTTAGCCAGCCTATGATCATTATTCTGAATTCTTGCTCTGGTAGGCTGCTTACCTCGGGCTCGTTTACTTCCTTTTCTGGTGATGCCTGCTTTTCTTTCATGTGCGGACTATGTTTTTGTCTCCCCATAGCCTCTCTTCTCAGGATGTCTGGTTATGTGGTGTTCCTTCTCCTTTCCGTGGGTGACCGAAGAACTCCCCGGATTCCACGCGCCCGTGCCGATTCGGGCTTCTCAGCTGCTTGATGGACCTCCCCGCTGTGTGTTTTTCCAGGCCTCAGGGATGCTCCTCCTTTCCTGGTAAGATGGCGCTGCCTTCTCTCCGCGAGAGCTCGCTGGGAGAGCCGCTGCAGCCGCGGCAGTGCTGGCCTCTTGGTCAGGAAATCTTGTCCAACGGACCTTTCCTTACCTTCCTAGAGAATTCCGAAGCCCCTTAGCTGCCAATCAACATTCCCTGAGCGACTCAGACGCTGTTTCTATCTGTTCTGGGACCAGAGTCAGAACAAGTCCGACTGTTCGGTCGCCATCTTCAAGCTCCGCCTCTCTTTCAATTTTGATTGATAATCTTGCTGGATAGAGTATTCTTGGATCCAGTCCTTTGCTTTGCAACACTTATTGGATGTAAATTCTTTCTTGATGATGACAGTTAATAGTATATAGAATAGTTACATAACCCATCTATTCCATAATTTTTCTTTGTAGTATATTTTTCATAGCCAACACTGTTGATGCTGTATACCAAAATTTGTTGTCCTTTAAATAAAATTCAGTCCCTGAAGACAGATTTAACTTAAATATATTATGTTTCTTTAACACAACTCCAAATTGTATCTAAGTAGTCTTTTAAACTATAGTATTTAATTTTTAGAAGAAAATAATATAATGTAATAACTGGGTTATCTTGTTGAATCTTCTGCTGTGATGTTATCTCTGCCATGAAATGATCCCTTATTTTCATTTTGCCACATTTATTGCCCCCAAACAACACCAAAAAAGAACAAATTGCTGCAACAAATGCCCTGATAGATTTAATATATCCACTAAGGCAACTTCTAACACGCATTGTTGGGTTGTTACTTTGAGGAAAAGCATCCTTTCATTTTGCTTGTCTTTCTTTTTTTGAAAGCTGAATCAAACAGTTGAATCTGACAACCTATAGTCTTTTACTATAAAAAAATTAAGAAGATGAAAACTGGGGTCAATAGCCCATTGCCAATCTATGAAATGCAATTGGCTTTGTCTTGCATCACACCAGTGCACAGCAGAACAGAAAGTAATTACAGGGCACAGGCATTTGTGCAAGTGAAAATATGCATGAACAACAAAGGCTGATATTGCCTAGGAAAGTCCCTGCCTCTGGTCATTTTTAGGATAATAGGGAGACAGATTGTTTTCTGGGATGGTTTGAATGCTGGCCTGAGGACAGAGGGAAGCATGATGTAATTTCTTAAGGGCTTTCATAGTCTCCTAATTTTTTGAAGCACCAGACTTAGGTAGATACAAACAGTACTTCCCTTTTTCTTCTAGAAGGTGGAAAATTTGGTGAAAAAAAAGGATGTATGATATGTGCCAAAGAACCTCTGTTGGATGAATATTGGGACAACCTAAAAGTGTTAAATCTCAGGTTCTTTGCAAATAAAGTTTAGCTTGGTTGGTTGAACATTTCCACACACTTAATTTTATGTCCCTTAAGTTCCACATCAAGGTTTATACATAGAGAAACCTCTCTATTGAAAGGAATATAATTCTCATATTTAGCATTGTTTAAACTCTGTTTTAATTTTCTGTTCTCACATTTAAAAAATCCATTTTCTTAATATCCATACTATCCTGACAATGCATAGAGAGTGGGCGTATTGGGTTAGTTCATTCAAGGCATTCTGAATTTCCAAACTAAACTGCTGACATCATCCCACCAGTTTAATAACATTCCATTTAAAATTAAACTGGGAATAAATGTTGACAACACTGGCCAAACTTTAACAGAATTCCCTTCTCCCATTCCATCTCCTAGGAGGAGCTTCAGGGAATTATAAAAGAACCTCTGGGTTTCCTGCTTTCAATAACATTGAGAGTTTACTTTCTGTTCAGATTCCCAATTATAACAGTTTGGGTCCTTAAGATAGAGTTATGTCTCCAAAATTTAGTCCACTATCTCATTTTTTGGGGTCACACTTAACAACAAAGAATATAAGCTTTGAAACAAAAAAGGATTTAATTCCCTGCATTTGTCGCTTACTTGCAATGTGATAACAAATCATCAAATTTTTGCACATCAGTTTTCTTGTGCATAAAATGAAAATAATCTATAATAATAAAAGCATAATATGCTAGTTAGACTGGATGTTCTTCTGGATAAAGCCAGGGCTGTGAGGGAAGCCGGGTCCTGGGTGCCAGAAGGAAACCAGTGCCAGCAGCTGGGGGAAGGAAGGCCTACGCTTGCATGAATTTCATGCATCGGGCCTCTAGTGTTTTTTAATAATCTTCTAGAATCCTTGTGAGGCCAACTGAAGATAAAATTGTAAAGCAACAGAAAAATGCCTGGCATGTAGATCTTCAACTATTAATATTAGTAAAGTATACAATGCAAGAATGACTATCAGATGTAGTTGTGATAATTCTTATATTACAGATGAAGAAATAGGTTCAGAAGCATTGTATCTTGTCCAAAGTCACAGTTTCTTAGGACATTAACTAAAGAATTACCCTTGACTTCTCTTGCTTTCCTCATTCCTACTCCCTCTTAAAATCTAATCCATCAGCAAGTTCTACCCTAAAATTTGATTTTAAATCCTATTTATCATCATCTCCATCATAACCAACTTAGTTCAAGTTTCTTATTTATATATCACCTGGCTTATTTTATAGCCTCCTAACTGGTCCTCCAACTTCAACTCTTACCTGCCCTACTATTGTTACAGAAAACTTGAGAAGAACCAAGCAACACTTAGAGAGATGGAGTTATATTTTTTTTTATTATTATTACATGAGGGCCCAGAGGAAAATGTCTCTCAAATTCTGGGCCCTGTCACACAGGAAGTTTCCCTATGTTTTTGTGTGTTTGTTTATTTGTTTGTTTGTTTGCTTTTACCTTTGTTGTCTCCCAAATATGGGGTTTTGAGACCTCAACCAAAGGCTTAGCCTGATGCCAGCACTGACAACTTCATATGGGGAAGGTTTAGTGGCATCTCTGAAATGAGAGTAGTCTTATTTTCCTTATTATTTAAACAAGCAAGCATTTACAGAAGCCAAAATTAGGATTCCATTGACCTTGATTGCTGTGGAGTTGGTCCTTTCCAGGTAGGAGTCAGTCCTTGATGGCAAATTTCTTTACCCAAACAGAGTCAACAGGGTGGAAGAGATGAACCAGATCAGAAGTTGATACAGGCAGAGCATCTCAGATGCTTCCTGGGTAGACTGTAAAGCCTATAAGAACTTGAGTAAAATTTGATTATGGATTTCAGCTTTTCTAGATTGAGTAGGTCAGGGTATGAAAGAGTCACTAGAATCTGTAGAAGCCCCAACTGGTTTTCAGGCAGCCTCCAAGGACACTTCATCTGTGGCCCCGTTCCCTCTTGCTTCTGTGGAGTCCTCTTACTTTGTAAATAGCACTATGTACATGCACTGTTGTAAATGCATACCTGCTATCAGTATAAATTGTTACTGATTTTTCTTTTGTTCACCAGAGAGCCTGAAACTGGGTGACTGGAGTGTTTGACATCAAGGACTTCAGTGTGTTCTGGAGTAAAGCCTTGACCTCATGTGGCAGTTAGGATTAGTTCCTGCCGGAGGGTTAACTTATTTGCTTTTTCAATAAGTATAGCTGTGGCTGCTACTGCCCGGAGGCAAGTAGGTCCCCCAAATGCAAAGGGGTCAAGTCTTTTGGAAAATAGGCTACTGGCCTTTTCTAGGGGCTGAGACTTTGGGTGAGTACCTCTTTGGCTATGCCCTTTGTCTTACATACCTAGAAGTGGAAAGACTTAGTTACATCTGGTAGCACTAGTTTGACCATTGTCCTTACTCTGCTCATGACTGTCTAACTGCCTACTATATATTACCTCAAGGATCCTGGCTCTGAATTCTTTCAGGGAAAATGGACATCAGTGGGGTCCTCTGACTACTTCCATGCTGAAGGGGGACAGATTTTTCTTTCAGAGCCAAGATATCCTTGCTGTATATCAGAGGGATGATGAGGCCTGGGCACAGAAGGAGACAAACTGAAACAAATGGTCTGGTGGAAGGGAAATAAAACATTTCAGTTTTAATTAGCTCTATTGAAATAGAATTTTTCTCCTCATAATTAACTCTACGTTTATCAAAAGAACCAGATCAAGAACAATTTATCTATTGTATTCAATTTGGCCTGATTGTTTGCATAAACACAAGAATGGTAATTGACTACTTTTGCTTGAATTTCATGATTGAATCTTTTTTTAAAAAATTTCTTTATTGATTAAGGTATCACATATTTGTCTTCACCCCCCCATTCCCTTCCCAAACTTCACCCCACGCATGCCCCCATACCCACTGGTTAGGCTTATATGCATGCATACAAATACTTTGATTGATCTCTCCCCCTTACCCCCACCCTCCCCTACCTTCCCTCTGAGGTTTGATAGTCTGATCAATGCTTCCCCTGTCTCCAGGTCTGTTTTTGTTCATCAGTTTATGTTGTTCATTATTTCCTCTAGATGAGTGAGGTATGTGATACTAGAAATATACTTAAAAGAACTGAAAATGAGAAGCCATAATGGTTATGCTGTTAGGCAAATGAATCAGTCTGAGGTGAGTTTCTTTCTGGGCCAACAGTTCTTTTGAGTCCCAATTTCAATGTCAAACAGTTCTTTATGTGTACATGTTAGCAATGATATTTCAGTTCTGGATGGTGGAAAAATGGTGGTGATGCAGGTCTGACCATCTCTGGTTTGGTCCTGGGCAACCTTCAGTGACACACAGCTGCTGACTGCTAGTATGGCAAGGCATTGTCAATGAATTCCATATCTGGACTGTTTCTCTTCTGTCTTCATGGCTAGATCAGTCCTGTCAATTTCTCTCTGTTTCAGGAATTCACATGGTCTTGGAGTTGTTTTCTGAAAATAGACAAACATATTCTTGACCAAAAGTTAATAAAGGAATATTTTCTATAAATTTGACTTGGGATCCCTTTTCACTTTTTGTCCAAACAATTTTCCTTTGGCTTGTTCTGACACCATGAATGTTTGGGACATACTAAGATTCAATCATAACACCAGAAAGGGAGTCATGATTGAACCTTAGTGTGTCCCATAGGGCCAGGAAGCCAAGCTATCCAGCTGCTGTCAGGCCTGCCTCTAGTATCTGTTGAATTAGGTGAATTCCTCACCTGTAGCAACTCCACCTGGGACCACGCCCTAGGTTTCAAGGCCCGTTTCAGCAGACCTCCTACTCTTTGTGGCCTAGAGTGCATCGAGGTTCCACAGGGATGCAGAGGAACCCTTATTGCTTCCCTTCTATTATACTCTGACCAATTGCCAGCCATGGTAGGCCATGGGCCTGAAGCTTTAGTGCCAGCTATTTTTAGGGTTCCCAAGCAGGATACCAAGCTTTTGCTGTGGCACTCTTATTGGCTTCAAATCTTCAGAGTTCAAACAGAGCTCTTTAAAACATGATACTCCAAAGTTTTCGATTAATAAAATCACTATTGGAAACCCATCTTATTGAAGGTATGCAAAGAAATGTATTGCCATGATTTATTAAGCATTGCTAAATTTCAGAGGAATTATATAAAGAGAAAATATATTTACCTGCTTTAAGAGCTTCTGATTTTCCTTGTCAGTCCTTTACATGGACTCTTTAGAGCACATGTGTCAAACACAAGGCCCGCGGGCCAAATCCGTCCCGCCAGGCCTTGCAATGTGGCCCGCACCGCGCTGTCATCACTGCACTCCGCTGCGTTTCCATCACAATGACAGTTTATGACTGTTCAGTAAACCATTCGGCCCACGATTTAGGCTGGATTTTAGATTTTGGCCCCTTCTCTGATTGAGTTAGACACCCCTACTTTAGAGTAATAGAACTATCTCCAAATGGCAAGAAAATTTTAAAAAATGTGTTTATATTTAAGTAGACAGTTACAGCTGTCCTTGTAAGTAGGGTTCCCCCTACTTGACTTGTCCTTTAAATTACATATGGTCTCTGGAAAAGATGACACACCCACTCAGAATGAACTAAAGGAGTTTTATTACTTCAAAGAGTCTCGCATGTCACAGGACCTCACAGGGTCTGTAATTTCTGTAGCAGAGGGATTGTACTTACCTCTGTTCCACACAGGCCTTCCCAGTTTCCTAAAGTTGAGGTTTGTGCCACCGCTGACATGGACATGGTCACACAGGTCTGCAAGGCAGTAAACAGGCTGCCAACTGTCTTTCAATAGAGACCAAAACCAGATGGATATTTTCCTTGCCCATTTGAGCACCTGCCCTTTTGGCAACTGCATTCAAATCTGTAAGGTTAATGCAATATTATTAACACAATGAAGTACAATATTGGCTCTGTGGCCACCTTAGGTAGCCAAATCTTCTGTTACCATATATGGCACATGGTAGGGCTATACAAATATCTTAGGGAGGTCACTAAAATCTATTCTTGACCTTCCCACACAAAGCAAAATTGTTCTTGTCTCTCTGGAGCCATGTCCATGAAGACCCAGGCATCATCTAAATCTATTATACAGTTTTCTGCAGGCCACTGTCAGGGCTGTGCTTGGTTCTTTCTAACCATAAACACAGTCTGTCCAATTTCCCTAAAATGTATTCTGGCACAGTAGAAAGTTGTTTTGCTGTACACATAAAGCTTAACTCCTACTCAACGGGGCCTGGACTTCTGCCTAGCAAACAGCAGTCTATAAGTTCAATATGCAGCATCCGGTCCTCCTAACCCAACGGGGTCTTGGCCAGTCCCTCAGTCAGATTTCTCCTCTCTTAGAGAATCTCAAAGTTTTGAAGGCTCCCTGGTCCAGGAAGAATGTCTTTCCTTTGCCCTTTTTGTTAACCCTATTTACTAGTTATAGGGCCCTGCCATAAACTACCAGTCTAAAACATCCAGAGTTGCACTTAGAAAGAGCTTTGCATATTGCAAAGTGCTCCTGTGGCAGTGGCTTGGGTAGTAAGGCCCTCTACCTTCTTTTGCCTGTTCTTGCTTCTCTACCAAGCCTCCTGCTCCCAGCTGCTCTTTGGGTATCTGGTTCCAAGTATTCAAAGTGTGAGGAGTCAACATGATCTCCCCAACCGAGCACTTACCTCCAAAATCCTGTCCTGACACCTAGTGTTGGGAGCACTGGCTCCTGCTGGGACCCGTACATCTTCTAGCTCCTGCCAGCAAGACCAAGTGTCAGAGAAGCAAGGGCACAGCTGCTCTGAGTTGTTCTGAGTTCCTATATTTTTTTAATTAATTTTTGTAAAATATTTATAATTTACTGGGCAATAGCTCAGGTGTCAGGTTACTGTCTGTCATAGGCTCTACAGCAGTGGTTCTCAACCTGTGGGTCGAATTGCTAGCAGGATCATCTGAGACCACCGGAAAACACAGATATTTACATTACATTTCATTACAGTAGCAAAATTACAGTTATGAAGTATCAACAAAAATAATTTTATGGTTGGGGGTCACCACAAGCTGAGGAACTTTATTAAAGGGTGGAGGCATTGGAAAGATTAAGAACCACTTCCCTATAGGAGCTTAAATCCTCCTCCTTTAGTACTCTTGATCTCTTCAACCAGCCCCCTGTCCCTTAGTTCACCTGATTGTCTCCCTTTCTTATTGTGAGTCAGAGGAAGACAATTCCTGGAGAGTGGAGAAACAGAAACAGTGGGAGTTTCAGAGAAAACTACAGACTATTGCTGTAGTAGTCCTCTCTCCCAGAGGTTGGGGCCCAATCTGTGGGAAAATGACTCTTAGTCGGCCTGGAAAGATAGCTGATGAGGATAAGGATGTGTAGGGAGATTTCTTGCTGACTGAAAGCCTGGATGGCCTCCTGAAAGAAAAGATATTTAATTCAGTCACAAATGCTATGAGAATCAGGCTGAGGGAGGAAGGGAAAGACCAGGTTATGTACTCTATGAGGATTCTAATAAATAGTAACTGAAAATGGCAAGTCAAATAAAACACACAACCATGAGAACAACAGACTGTACAAGACACACAACCAGGGTTAACGAGGTCTATAGATAGTTAATAATATCTTCAGCCTTAATTTTGCCTCAAGTGGACCACGTTGGACTATGATGTGGACAGGGCCTGTAAATCTCTCCGCCCTGTGGAGCTGTAAGCTCTGCCCTTGGAAGTCTCCGACTACCAAAAGAAATAAGAAAAGCTATAAATATAAATAAAAGTTCTTTGTTCTTTGAAATTTCACAAATTTATACCTTTAAATTTACTCCAGAATTTCAAAATTTCAATTTAATACAGCAAATTCACAACTCAGGAAAGAGCAACCGATAGACATACATTTTTATTAGCTAAGTGGGCTTATTCCTTCTCTGAGGGAGAGCAAAAGACTCTGAGAAAAATAAATCTCTCAGCTGCTAGAGACTTGCACTTCATCACAGTGAGTCCACCCTATCTTTAAACACATTAAACAATAGAAAGAGATAACAAATACTCTCTGGTGTGCAGCCAGAAGGCCCAAAGTCTGAGCAGATAATTATGCCAAGACTGACAAACATTCATACACTCTCTGACTAGCCCAGACTGGAGCTGAGCAGATAAATGAAACAATGCCCAACTCCCCAGATGGGTGTGGAGCACTTCCGGCACCCATGACCCAGAACAGAATTCTCAACCAAGTCTTGGTGAGAACCTACTGGAAAAGTTAAGACTGTGTCCAATCCCCCTTCTCGGTAGCAAATTGGCTAGTCCCACACAAACTAACAGCAGAATGAACTCATAATTCCTTAATTGAATCTGAATTCACTCACCTCTGGAGTCCCACATTTATATACAGTCTGAGTTTTTTACTTCTACCAGATATTTACCCAGAGTTTAAACAGTCTACCTGATTCCTCCTGATTAATTTGCCTGAGGAAGTCAACTTCCTGGAAGGTGATGAAGCTCCCCTTTCCACTCACTCCAAGTGGGCCTGGCTGATAAGGGCCCCTATCTACTGATTCTGTGGCAGGTCCAGAAGTGTCTGTCACTCTCTCAAGATACCAGCCGGGTCCTGGGCTGAGGTCTGGGAGCACCGGGAGTCCCCTGGTTCAATTCTGCTAAATCAGCAGAGTGGTGCCTCCCAGGGGCCTATTCAGCTCCCCCGGGCCCCAAACCAGAAGCTGAGGGCCGCTCTCCAGAAGCTGAAAGGCCAAGCATAGTTATTTCTTGGTCAGGGAACCATTAATGTTACAGAAACCCGGGAATAACCAAGCAACACTTAGAGAGATGGAGTTACATTTTTTATTATTATTATTACACGAGGGCCCAGAGGAAAATGTCTCTCAAATTCTGGGCCCTGTCACACAGGAACTTTGCCTATTTATATGTTTTTATCTTTGTCTCCCAAATATGGGTGTTTCTGGTCCCTTTGCAAGTTCTTAAAGAGTCCTATGTGCTGGGGCTTTGAGACCTCAACCAAAAGCTTGGCCTGATGCCAGCACTGATAACTTTGTCTGGGGAAGGTTTAATAGCCTCTCTGAAATGGGAGTAGTCTTATTTTCCTTATTATTAAGCAAGCAAGCATTTACAGAAGGGTTAAAATTTTAAATAGTTTTTTATATAAGATGGATGCTTCACTATCTATTGTAAACACAGCAGACAGGATAAAACATAAATGAAACCATGCTACTTCCCTGCTTAAAATGTAAAATTGATCCCCACTGCACTTAGAATCAAACCCAAAATTCTTATCAGAGCCTTCAGGACCTTGTAGTCTCTGATATCTGTCTAGACCTCTATTCTATTACCAATCTTCCTCTTGTTTACTGTTTCATTCACATAAGTTTAATTTTGTTTATAGGTCTTCATGCAGCTTCAGAACTTTTATATCGGGTTTAGTAATAATTAATGTCGTTTTTAAACATTCGTTTAAAATCTTGCTTGGCGTTGACTTGTATTGACATAAACCTTCAAACACGTGGTATCTACAGAACGTGTGAAGTGCAATTAACAAGTTTTGCTTGAAAAAGTTTGTGTTTGGTTTGGTTTTTGTTGCAAAACTAGGGCTAAGAAGATGGCGGATGAAGAGCATATTCGGCACTGCATGCTTTACGAGTTCCAATTAAGAAGAAAAGCAAGTGAGGCTGCAAGAAACATCTGTAGTGCTCTTGGTCAAGATGCAGTTAGCGCCAGAAAATGCCAGCGTTGGTTTGAGAAATTTCGCGAGGGAAATTTTTCGTTAGATGACAAGAGTGGTCGAGGCCATGTGTCCAATTTTGATCAAGAAGCTCTTCAAGCTCTTTTGGTGCAAAATCCTCAAATTACCCAACAAGAGCTTGCAACAACTTTA